CCCGCGAGAGCCGCCGCGGCGAACTCGCGCTGTTCTCTCATCTCCACTGTAACTAGATGTTCTTCAATAAAAAGACGAAATGTACAATATATATATAAGAGTGAACGCGATGTTTGTAAATATTCAAAAGGTTACAAACGAAAATATAACTTTTTAAATAGACGGCATAATGTCGTCGAAACTCATATTGTGATAACGTTAATAGATTTAAAAATTCGTATAATATTATTGCCTATATTAAATTATATTTGTTGATGGAGAGTATATATTGATAGATATTTATTATGGTACATACTAAGATTACTCTTTTATATCGGAATGTAGTTATTTCATAATGTTCCTTTGTATGTGTAGACATACCTCCATTGACGCGCAGTCGCCATTGTTCTGTTCACACAGCTCGGCCCCTCGGAGCGGCATCTCGCTGTCGAATGTTCCCGAAACTAATGTTACTCCGCATTTGGATCACATCAATAATCGTTTTTTATCATTTTTAATTTGTTACTTGACTTAAGCATGATTGTTTTTTATTTTATTCGTATGTGTCCAAAAACTTAGAAAAATGTGCATTTATAAATTTGTCAATGAATGTGAACAGCTAAAACGCCACACTATGCAGTAATAATGTTCATAAACACTATAAATAAGTTAAAATAAAGTGCATCACATTTTTTTTCTGATGCTATAATGTTAAAAATTATGATAAGAATTGTTTGATTAATGTTATCATTAGTATTTTTTATATGTGAATATCTTAGTACATTTTAATGATTTCAGTATTAATTGTTTTTATGTGCATAATTACAGAATTGTTAATTTGTGTAATTGTCATCAGGTATATTTAAGGACCAGTAGATTAATTTTCTATGAAAATGAATACAAAATAATGTTAAAAACACAATGTTCATGTTTTTTTACTAAACTTGTTTAAGACAACACACTACCCATTGATTTTTGTAAAAAATGTAAACATATCAACGCACAGACATGAATAAAAAATCGATATGAAAATATGGGTCCCTGTGGCTATTTGTTAAAAAAATGTGGCGTTTTACCTGTAAACAATACAAACATTTGCTTTGAAATCGATTTTTTATTAAAAAGAATACTCTATATGTGGTTTTATTACTATTTTTTCTAAAAAATTGTCCTATGCAATTTTTTTTTAATGTTGCCTGATAAGTATAGATCCACAAGGATCATTTAAATTGAGATGTAGGCGCTTAACTGCTTTCGCAGTTACCAGCTAGATAGTATTCCTATATTTTGAGGAAATTATTTTCTTTCGAATACAAAACCGAACTATATGTGTTAACATACAGATCGGTTAATCGTTAGATTTGCAACTAATGTCTTGATTAAAATTGATTCTTCGCAAATAACTAATTACAGTTTTGGGAAAATTCGAGCAAAGACGAGGTAGGTCTAAAACTTTTTTATTTAGAATTAAGGATCATATGTAAAATCACAAGGTAGCGTCATCATCCTCATGACTGTAATATCAACAAATAAACTCAATGTTTTAAATCTACTAAAACAGAACATTGTTAGTTCACAAAATTGCTGCGTGCATACGATCCTCGTAAAATTGACAGATGATCGATACAGAAGTTATAAAGCGTATGTGAAGTGAAGTCTGTCAGTGTCAATCTGCCATGCTGGTGTGCGGTGCCGGTGTTCTTGCTCGTGTGGTGGTGAGGTAGTTACAAGTGTAGGGTTCCTTCTATTACAACTATATTGATTAAAATTATTCGGTACATCTCGCTCAACTGTTAACATGGCTGTGTGAAAAAGTGACTGTGCGAAAAGTATATTAAGTAAACGTGAGGTTAGTGTTCATATAAAAGGGATTCTGTTAGCTACAAAGTTATTTTTTTTAGTAAGATGAGTGAATATTATAACATAGTACCGTGGTTTGATAGCAAAGAATGGCATAAAGCTTATACGGATATCTATTCGCCAAATTCAACTGATCTCACGAAAGAAGACGCTCTTGAAATATTGCATGTGTGGAAAGCTAGATGTCCCATATTGCCTTCAGGTATTGAATCCACCTTAACGTTACTGGAAGTACGTATTCAAGACATTAAAAGCTTCGATGTAGTTGGTGAACAAATTATACGCTTAGCTTATTCGACGGCGTTAATGAGATTTGTAAATCATATGCTTGATTCTCAAACTTCAAAAGGAAGTAGTTTATATAAAGCAGCTCAAAATTTAGGAGTTCCAGACTGGGTGATAGACTTGCGCCATGATACTGCACACGGTAATATGCTGCCATCACTTGAACTTCTTAGAGAGGCCACATCCATTGGCTTTGAGTGGCTTAAGGTGAACTATTGGGATAAACATAGAAAAATTGTTAAAGATTATGTCTGTGGCCAAAAGGAATTGGAGAATGATGAGGAAAGCAAAGTTCGTGTGTTAATGAATTTCTGTTTTTCATTAAGCATATGTGCACATTCTAAATTGAAAATTAAAAGGTTAGCTGACATTCCTGACAAAAGCATAAGAGAATCAATGATTAATAATATAAAAGAAATATTTGGGGATTTAGTTGATTTAACAAATTTAAAGAAAGTTACTATTGTTTCTTTGATAAACCTGATTAATATATATTCTAAACGCCTATTAAAGAACCCAGATGCACCTTTATATGCAACTGAAGCTCTGCTGGGGAATGATGCACTATTTTTATCATTGGATCTGTTTAACTTTTTAAATGAACGTGGTTCTATGAAAGAATCTAGCTTGAACAAACATTATGTTCATTGTTTTGAAACATTGCTTACATATTTACATACAAATGATCTACTTCAAGAATTTGTTATGGAGCTCATAGCAATCACACAAAGTTGTGAACTCAGCAACGAAAAGCGCTGGCTTGCTGCATTGTGGACATCAGAAATTTTAAAAGCATTAAAAAAATCGAGCAAATTTGTTAAAAGATTTACTAAGTAAGTACTGAGTGTATATATACTTGTATAAAAATCTATCTATTTTGTCCCTTTATATTTTAAACTAAATTATGTTTTTTAACCTAACCAGCCTAACAGTGGTAGAGCCCGCTTCAACATTTAATGAATGGGCCAGCTAACCTGGTAAAATACCACAACCACATGGAAAACAGGTGTGAATTAGGAGCAATTCCATGTTTCTTCTTATGAGTGTGTGTGCCGATGGTCTAATTTTAGTCCCTATTCCTTCCGACCATTTTCTAGTAAAGAAAGGATGGGAAGGAAAAGTGTATTGATTGATGATAGGGGAGACACAAGGGAAAATATCCTCTTTATGTGCATCCTTCCTCCATTATTTCAGGGTAGGCAACTTTTCATTATTTCAATTCATATGTACTATGACATTCTTTTTTGAGTATGGAAATGTAATATTAGAGGGGTCATGTTGAATACTGTCATTTATCTGTTCTGTTTATTCAGTTGGTGCTTCAATATGTACAATATGTACAATATGACATAACCAGAAAAAATATTGACATAAAAAACAACCATTTAGATAGAAAATAAAATAAAATCACAATCAATAAAACGCGGCTAGTGTTGTGATGTCAGTAGGCAATATATCCACTCAGATGTCACCTATATGTAAACAGCAAAGTATTTAATTGCTTCTCAGAGTTATCAAAAGACAAAAACTATTAAATCTACCTATAACTTTGGGAAACACATAAAAACGTGTGATGTTAAAACAATACAACCATGAAAGAAAACATCTTCATGAAAATGTTTATTAAGAAATGTACATGACAACTGTTTCATTGAAATTTCATTATTCCTGGTACAAATAAGTGTGGTATTCAAATTTAATAATGTTTTAAGTGTGTTAAAAGGTTTTTTTTTTCAGTAATACATCTAACAATATGGAGAAAAAGAAGAAAAGTGAACTAAAAGCTTTATTCTACCACTGGTTTCCAAATGAGAAGGGCTGTGGTCTATTATTAGACTTATTTAAACCAATACCAGAAGGTTTAACCAATTTAAGCTTTATTCGGCCTTTTATAACAACTTACAATGTTTATCTGATTTATTTCATTAAAGACATTTTGAATCTTCTTGAGCCACCGTTGCCTGCAAATATATATAAGAAGATATGTGAGCTTGCAACACTGGTAGCATCACCTATGAAGAAATTTGATACTGTACCAAATAGAGTATTTACTGTTTCTGATGTTAAAGCTGCAACGGAAGACGAACATATTGTTGATGTTGATGAAGAAAAAGATGGTATGGAGGCAGATTTGGACGCAAGTGAAACAGATTCACAAAACAATACAATAGCTTTTGGCATATGGAAGATGAAAACTGTAGGAGATGATATTTGGTCTGAGTGTCCTATTGGGAGAGTGCCAGCTACACTGCATCCACCTCAACCAGATACTACAGACAAAGAAAATAGTGAACCTATGGATATTGAAATGTATGAATAGAAATTAATAAATAAATAAAATCACAACAGCAATTGTTTATTTTTTTTATTTTTATATTTGTATACAGTTTAATGGTTTGGTTACATTTCATTGTATTGACATCATAGTCCTAAAATTTAAACAATATACAAGTTAATTAACTAGTTCTAAATATAATACAGGTTACAATCAAGTACAGCAAACATTAAAAAGTTTATTTTAAAATAGAGAATACAGCATTGGTCCTTAGAGAATACGAAATTCAGTAATCCTTTTTAAAAACAGTATCTACAAAAGTTAAAATAACAATAGTAAATATTATTTAATAATCATTATAAACGTTAGAACATCTGTTTCTCATCAAGCAACCTAGCTTGCAGTTTTACCAAACGATTGACATTATCTGCACCATATTTTAAAAATAGGTTTTTACGGCAAATAATTGTAAAATGGCTTAAATACTTAGAAACACGAGACTAACACAGCATTACAATCTCCTTTAACATAGTTCTATTTACAAAATCCACAGCGGAACCTTAAGACTTACACACACCAGCCATTCTCGTTGAAGACACATTGCACATTTATTAAAAACTTAACTAAAACATCGATGGATCCTACGTAACTGATCAGATTTACACCTTATTTTTTTTAAATTAACTTGAAAATACACATTTCTGTGTAAATTTCAAAGTAATGTTAGAAGAACTGTAGTTGTTTGTAATTATTCGTGTTGATTTTAACATTTTTGTCTTGCAAAATGTATGTTTTAAACATGCAATAGTTTAAATAGGATCCATCGACATCTAGCATGAGTATGCCAAGAATACTCCGAAGAACAAAAATCCTTTCTCCATACACATTGGATGACAAGGCTTTTTCTAAGAGAAGGATCGTATTACCCATGATATTGCCATAGAATGGAAATAGTTGAAATTTGTAAATCTTTGTCAAATTTTACGTTTTATTACATAATGAATAAGATGAGGCTTTGACACCTTTTTATTAAAAATAGATTTGATCAAACAATTTCGGTGAATTATTTCTTCACACACACAAGTTAGGTGTGACTTTGTCATTCAACCAGATCAAAATAACATTATATTCACGTTGTGGAATGCTGAAAGCAAACAAGTAAAGGCACAGAAGGTACATACAAACTACTTTCGTACGAGAAACTACAAACATAACCCATCCGGCAACTTTGTTCAAAGCTTATAGCACTACAATGAATCGATTGTCATGAACTAAGTCGAGATTCTATTAAGAAAATGCTTACTAATACGATAGCCTACAGTTTGGGAATTAAAGCAGTTATCCGATACATGGGGGTTTCACAGAAGTTCGTTGTATGAAATAACCAAGTACTATTCTATATAGAGATATTTAAAAGCGGACACAGTATTTGTGACTTAACAATACATTCAATAGCTTATCAATAGACAGTCTTTTAGATAATAACAGCAAATAAAAGCAAGGTACAGTTTGAACAGTGGAGTTGGTAATTAGATATAATGCAAGTTTTTTTTACAATAACACATTTGCATATATGTTAGCATGAATTTTTTTACACTAAAAATTCAAATTTTAAAATCTTAGCTAATGCTTCCTTAAGCCAACTGTACTTTGCTTATTGCTACACATCTTTGTTGTAAAAGTATGGGTTTACGATAAACATAGTAAATCAATGATATAAAGGCTCAAGGACTTCGTATAAGCGCAAAAATACCAGGATCTAGGTCCTCCTAAAATGTTTAAAATTTATTAAAAGCATGGCCGATGTAGTGAACATATTGATTTGTTTGATTTATCTTAATTGTGTTTACATTAAAGAATAAGTAGTAAAAGTGATATCTCAAATGAATGTTTGCAACAATTGATAAACATAACCAGTGCACAATGTATTGCGAATTTTTTATCCACAAAATCAACAATAAAATAGTAGAAAAAATAAATCTAATAGCCCTGAAACATACATATGGCTTAATTAACAATCACATTTAAATCCAATAACAAATTCCCTATAAATATAAAACATGTTTTAAAACATTCGCAAGTAATTTACAATAGGAAAATAATCTCATTTTCGTTATTACATACATTTGGGTATAACATCCCGTTACACTGTTCCAGTCCAGTTATCGTAATCAGCGCTTGATAACTGGAAAAACGTAAAACCACACTGGAATGCACTGTAAATGAGAATGCAAATCACAGCGCAGATTTGGCTGGACTGGAATATTGTTAACTGGGCATTAGTCTCGCGCGACATTTCTTAAGCTCTGTAAAAATATTGCATAATTATTCAAACACCAATTTTGATATTGTTTAAAATATCAAATAATAACATAAGCAAGTAAAATAAGGCAAGATACAGAAGAGAACCACTGGAATTTGAACAACGCGAGCACAATAACATGATAGGCACGTAGAATGCAACATATTTATACTCGAATTCAATGGAAATGACAAATTTTATCTACACATGTCACTGGCTGATAATAACATTAATTTAAAATATTTCAATTTAAAAATAATGATAAAACATGTCTACTTTGAATATGTGAATATAGTCTGTGATTGCAGCTTCATTTCCATTGAATGAAAATAACCTCTTTTCTATTATGACCTAATGAAGAAAACATGTTCGTTTGTCTTGCGGATTTATTTCATGTAAATTGTAACACAACATTTATGATGTACATTTTTGTCATAAGAAATTAACTGAAAAATCAGATTAAATTACAATTTTAACACTTCTTAGTTTTAGAATGAAATCTGCCAGTTATTTAGTTGCATATGTAAAAGCATTACAAACTATATTTTGCTTCCTAATTCCAGTTAATAGTCTTTGTATAGTTTTTGCACTTATAGCGATAATTTAATTTCTATATCACAATAACTAATATAAAATGTACTCAAATCAGCATATCATTTACACTACATCTATTGAAAATTAAGATAGTGCCGCAAAGGGAAACTGTGGGTATTTTAAACATAATTAGAGAGAAAACTGTGGTTAAAAAAATTATTTAAGCATATTTTGTTATGATGATAAAAGTTAATTCAGTCTACAATAATTACATTGAGCTTGTTTTAAACAAATAAATTTAAAATTCGTATTTTTTAAATTATTTCTAGCCCTTGTATTAATGATAAATAAAAAATATACAAGATTTTTGTAATGAACGTTTTTATCTTATTTTTTGCTAAAACACGTGAATTTTTTAACTAAGATCTTTTGAAATTAATTTGTCAACCAAAATGTAACTAAATACACAAAAAACAATTAATACAAAGTCTATTGACTTCGTCGGAATTTAAAATAATCCGAATTCACCAGAAATATATTAAAATTTATATTTGCATTGTAAAACATTAATATATTTACAAGAAAATCTAAACTTATACTAACTTACGAGTAACATGGTGTTCGTAGAAAATAAATACAATTTTGTATCAAGAATAGCCGAGGAAATTACATAACCTGTATATTTCTACTACTGTACTAAAATTTTAATTCCTTTTCAATGCAAGCAACCTACAGTCCATTCATTTTGCTACGAGATTTAGGTCCTGTCCCACTGAATTGTAAATTATCTGATAACAATCCAGTGTGAAATATGTGATGGAAATATCGGATTTTGTTACCTCATCTGACAGTGACGTCATTTTTAAGCCTATCTGACAGGCTTTTATAATTTCTAAATTTTATCCCAGACTAAATTTGGGTGTAAACAAATTCAAACTTAATTTTTGAAACAGTAAATTCAAACAATAAACAGAAACAATACTGCAATCAATAAAATCTCATATAAAATGAATAGACGATAGAATAAATAAATTTTATGAGTGATCTAGCGTTTTTCTACTTCACCATTATAAGTCAAGAAACATCCGTTTACTGAGTCTGGTCGCTTGTAGGACAGACATAGTGCACGTAGGCCTGTAACATGTATAAATTTATG